AACCGCTGATGCCCTTCACTCAGAACAGAGCTACAAGAAACATACAGAAAAAGAAATCTCAGCTTTGAGGAGTGCTGGTTGACATTTGAGAAGAACATGGGAAAGAAAAGATCCATAACTTACTGGTCTGTAACCTGGAAGCTCTTTCTAAAGTATGAATACAAAATTGTCTGAGTGTATTAAACTAATGATTTACAGCTTCAAATGCAACAAGAGACCAGTTCAAAAATATAGGTGAAGAAATATTTGTTTGGTGGCAGAAGAAACATGTACCAGGGAGGCACTACACGGACACACCAACCAAACCAACACCAATGCTGGAGGTGAGGGAAGTGTGTCCACAGGGAAGCTGGAGTAGATTAACAGAAAATTCTGCAAAATAACAGTAGGGTGCAACGTGGTATGATGTTCTCCATGGCAGTTTGGTCACCACTGAGATCTGTTTTCTACTTCTGCTGGTTGTGGTGCTGGGAAGGAGGAGGTTCACAGCTTGGGACTCACCACACTCAACATCAGTGTGGAGAGCATGAGGTCTGCACTCAGCCTTGGCAACAGCCTCCAGCAGACGTGTTGGATTTAGTAAGTGAGGCTCTTTCTGACACAGGACTGGACAAATCCCGTCCTAGAATTTCTTCTTCATCTTCACAGGCTATACAGGGAAGTAGGAAAAATCAGCTAATTTGTGAACTGGCAGGTGTCCATGTCACTAGAGAGGAGATCTCTTTCACATCTGCTTTATGGGAACAGTCTGAAGTTATATAGCTTGAATAACTAAGTTTAGTCCTGGGTGTAAATTGTTGTCTTTTTTTCCATAAGAATTGGACAGTATAAAAATCTTTAGGGACAGAAATAAATAATGGAGGAAAAGGAAAAATTCACATGTTGGACATTGTAGGAACTGGGGAGTTTCTCAGAAGGAATTCTATATAAAGGCAGAAGGAACACACTGGAGACATCTCCAGAGTTTAGTAACTCCTCACAGTTTAGTGAGTCATTCCAAACAAAGCTCATCACACAAAACAGACAAGACAATTAAGGTATGCACAACTCCAGTTATGCAACACTTTACTGAAGTAGTAAAGTAGCTGATGACCGGTCTGAGGCATCCAAAGCGGGACTTTAGGCAGAAGTTAATACCACTCAAAACAATGAAGACTTAGAAGAGGGCTGGGTTTCATGTTAATTGGGCTTGTTGTAGAGTGGAAGCATATAAAAATAGCAAAGTGACCGATGTTCATTGGCAGAGGTCCAAACTAAACAAGGAGGCCACTTCTAATGACTGAGAACCTCTCTGCTGCTGTGAAACAAGTGGTAGATTGTAAGTGGTTTATCAAAGGATGATGGAGTAGGTATGTGAATGTCTTTTCACAACAGAAAACAATAGGTTACGTGTATACGGTATTTTAAAACCAAGACGGATGGTAGGAGAGATGAAAGTCTAGGAAGAAGAATATATGGTCAAAGACCATGCAAGTTTAACACCAGTTTGGCCAGAAATTAACATATATTTGGCAAGGGATGACAAGCCTTTGCACAGGGCTGTAGGGAGTATGGGTAACAAGCAGGACAGAATTACTACCACCAAAACTCAAACCAAGTCCTAAAAGAAAAAAGTGGTAAAATATGTTGGGATTGCTCAGTTGTTGTAAAATATATGTGAGTAGACCAGGGGAGGTACTTATAAATATATATATATATATAAATATAAATATATATATATATACACATACACATTTCATCAAAGTTGCATCTTTGCCACTTGAGGCAGATATTCCAACAGTAAAATGAATTAATTTGAACATTAAATCTAAGCACAATCACATTATATCAGCGATGCTCGAGTCAGACCTGATCTTCACGACAAGGTTTGCAGGAAGCTGTGAGTGGGAAGCTCAGGTGCCAGGGAGTCAGGCTGCATACTGACATCCCCTGTTTTGAGGGCTGGAATTTTTAACAGGTTTAAGATGTTGGTCCTTCAGTTCTTTTCAGAATTTCTTAAAATTCAACCAGCAAATTTCCTGAGGCCTCCTTACAAATCCCACCATGGATGGCTCATGCCTGCTTCCAGGAAACCAGTGCTGAGGATTTGTGTCTACCAACATGCTTGATTTTTTTTGGCGCTCTCAATTTACAAGGACAGGGAAATAACAAAGCTTTACTATGGCTCTGAAGGGTGTTGGGAAGGCTCTGGGGTTAATCTAGCTCCGCACAGAGTCTATGAGCTCTAAAATGTCTGTGCACGACCCTCTCCATGCCTTCTGCCCCAAACTCACCCATTCCGGCACAGGCTTACTACATTATTTAGCATGTTGCTTGTCAAGTAAGACTTTCCCAGGTGTGGGTTGGACATGATGAGGTTCCTCAGAGTATAACAAGCTGATGCCATGATCTCGCCATAGCTGTTGGTATTTCCAGACTGGAATGACAGGAGACGTGATACATCTGGGAGCACCTGGTGAGCTAAAGAGGTGGAATGTTCCAATCAACATTTAAATAAAACCTAGCACAAGTGAATGATACTATTTGTGTTAGCACTATTCAATACGAGAATGCAGTGTTATCTCAGGAAGGAGGCATTAATAATGTTGGACAGTAATGGCATTATACTCATAACTTGATTTTCAGAGACAGAAAGGGAGTTATATTGGTCATGGGGAGTCAAGTCCAACTCATTTCCCCAAACACCATCATCCTCTTAAACCTGCAGATTTGTCATTATCTATAAAGCACACCACATATAGAGACTTCGAGATAACACACATTTGTTAATGAAGCTTGCAGCTACCACCTGTAATTGTCCTTTTGGCCAGAGGAAATAACACTGCTTTGCACAATTTCAGAGCTTGGTTAAGTCCTATTATGGGCAGATATTAGAGAGTCGGAAACTAGACATTGTTCTGGAACCCACTGCAGTGGAAATTACTTACCCATGGTTTTGTGGAGAACAGGATGCCGGGACATGTTGCTCAGCAAAGAAGCTCCAGACCGGACAACTTCAGAGCTGTTGGACTGGAGGAGTCGTGCTATGCGAGGCAAACCTTTTTCCTTCAAACCAATCAATTGGCTCATTGCGTTGGACATCTAGGAGACAGAACAGAGATGTCTCATGACTTCTAATGCTGGGACAACACAACTGGAATGACGTACAGGGCCAAACATGACTGCACTATAAAATAAGTGTCTATATAATACCATCTTCTGCTACCATAGTCCCACTTTGTCATTCACCCCTCTTCTCCCCAGGCATTCGCAAAATCGATCTCTCATCCTCTGTGATATGGCTGGGACTTCTGTCCTCTTTCTGGAGCCTGAGAGGGGACAGTTTCTCACCCAATGGATATTCCCATAGGCTGGAGAAGTTTTACCTTCATGTCCACATTGCCCTTCCCCTTGCCCAACACCCTTTCAGCTCCCTGCCATGCCACAAGTAATAGGCTGCTTTGGAGTAGGAACAGCTAATGATACCTTTAAAAAACAAGCTGAAGACCAAAAATACTCATCTTGGATCCTGATCTCCTGTTCGTTTATGTAAATCTAGAAGATCTCAGGATGTAGCCAATGCAGATGAGTGTTCATCGACATTGAAGCACACACCCTTAATAAACTGCCGCCTTATTGATAGAGTTTAAACTGAAGTTCTCAGCTATTGCCCCACAAGAAAGGCTGCTGGAGACTGTTGTACCACCAGTGACACATATCCATCAACAGTGACATGGGGATGGAGGGAACAGACTGGAAGGCAACCCTATTCCAGTGGGTTGAGACCTTATTTCCCTCCCATGCTCCAGGCGGCACATGTACTGTATTACAGATCCACACTAGCAGGACTGGCATGTGTAAAGCTGAGTCCGAGAAAAAGATTCAAAGTTCTCTATAAGCTAAAGGGTTCTAGTAAACTCTAAGCTTGTCCCCAGTTTCCCTTTCCTTCAAGTGACAGCAAATCCAGCAAATCCAGCAACCCACCCCAACTCCAGCTCTGAGCTGGAATAAGACCCTTGAAAGGAGAAGTTGCTCCTACACACCCAGGCAAATCCCAACCATCCCCTTCCAGAAGGCTGAAATAAGTTGTTTTAACAGTCAGAGCTGTTTTTTGTGGTTTTTGTTGTTGTTGTTGTTTTCTCCCCCCGCCCCAGAGACATTTTTGTTGAATGATCTCGATTGCTGAAAACCTTTTCATTTCCATGGAGCACATAGCTCCAGTCCCATTTCTCTGATTAGCTCTACTCAGTGTGACAGCCTCTCCACCTTCTTAGTGCCACTGTTTAATTAATCTGCCAAAAAAAAAAAAAAGTTTCTCAAAGTATTTCACATTGGAAGACTTGTAACAAAAGTTCCCAGGAGATCAGAGCTGGCAGGTTAATGCCGTCCTAGCAGCAAAGGCTCCTTTCGTGAGTCACTCCATGTCTCTGGGTGGAACACTTTGCACACGTGACATACCTCTCCTACGTATGAAATCTTTATCTATTTATCTCCTCAGCCATCGTATTTAAATTGGAATTGAAGAAGTTGGACACAAACAGACAAGTCGAGATTTGTCCACGTGAAGGCAGCCTGTGAGGACATGCCCATCGTAGTGACAGTGGGCACGGCAGAGCTGCTGTCGTGACGTGGCTCTCCCCATGCCCCAGCTCCTGCAATACCCACAGCGTCACACAGCTCATGTCACCTCCACACTGCCATACCTACAGGTTAGGACATCTATCAATCAGAGCTATTTTAGAAGCAGCTCTGATGTGAGGACAAGCCACAATCCACAGCACAACCCACCCTGTTATTAGTGCCACCTCCCATTTAAAAAAATCACACGCAGGCGGTGGCACATGCATCTCCTTTCTCTCTGGTTTTATGACAACTGTCACAGAATCACAGAATGGTGGGGATTGGAAGGGACCTCAAAAGATCATCCAGTCCAACCCCCCTGCCAGAGCAGGAACCTCAATGAGATCACACAGGAAGGCGTCCAGGCGGGTCTTGAATGTCTCCAGAGAAGAAGACTCCACACCCTCCCTGGGCAGCCTGTCCCAGGGCTCCGTCACCCTCACTGGAAAGAAGTTTCTTCTGAAGTTTAAGCAGAACCTCCTGTGTTCCAGCTCACACCCATTGCCCCTTGTCCTACCATTGGGCATCACTGAGAAGAGCCTGGCTCCATCCTCCTGACATTCACCCTTTACATATTTATAAACATTAATGAGGTCACCCCTCAGTCTCCTCTTCTCCAAGCTGAAGAGCCGCAGCTCCCTCAGCCTTTCCTCAGCAGGGAGATGCTCCACTCCCTTCATCATCTTGGTGGCTCTGTGCTGGACTCTCTCAAGCAGTTATGGGCACATCTGTGCACATCCTCACTGGTGTTCTGGGAGGAAGCCGCCAATATCAGCAGATGCTGGTGGTACCACCAACCTAGAGTAGCCCCTGGAAAGTGTATGGAACTGGGATAGGTTCTTGGGAGGCTGATTATAGCCCCTTCATGAGACCCTATTTTTTGCATTAATAAATACCTCAGTTGGAGTATCCACTGTGGAAAGACTTGCAAGAGTGTCCTGAGGTTTAAGGAGGACATTTTCCTTTCTGATTACTGTAAGGTGCTGACACTTTGGACAACAACTTGCGTGGAGTGGAGTGCTTACCAGCCCTCGGCTCGCAGTGAGGTTCTGCAGAGCTCCAGCACAAGCTTCCAAGGTGGCATCCTTCTTGCTCTGATCCATCAGGGACAGGTAGGTGCGGATGGCATCAGAGTGGTAGAGCCAGCTGGGTCCTTTGGGTTTAAAATCTTCCTCAGGAAGTGGGACACCGTACTCATCATTCTACAAAGAGATGAGAAACTGGAAGCTCGGATCCTGCTCCTTGCTTGCAGCCCCTGCCTGGGGCTGAATATCACATTTCCAAGCCCTCTGCGGTGTATCTTACCTCCATTTTACCACTCCTGCTGTTGAAGCAGCCTGTCAGAGTTTTGTCCATATAAACACTCCGGGCCATGTGGTTGAGCTGGGTGTATTTGTTGGGAACTTCAGCATCCAGGCGGTAGGAGAGGTTGTGCAAGATGCAGATGCAGTTCTCCACAGACTGAAATCACCACCAGAATAAAAATACAAGCAACACATTAGGCAGAAAAATATGGAGTAGCACCTGCTGTAGCTATAGAGAGGACACATACCCTGCCATAATTAGCTTTTCTTAGCAGTTATGCTGTATAAGCTCCTGACTCTGCTTAAGGTAGCAATGGATGGGAAGGAAGAAGGAGGTAGAGTAGACATAAATGAAGTCCACCACATAGTCCAAATGCTATACTGTGGATCTCAGAGAGCTGACTGACCCAGTGAACATTATTAGGTCACACTGCCACAGACAAGCTGATAAACAGGAAAAGAGAACACAAGTGCATAGGGTGGTTATATCAAACTGTCCACCATGAAATCCTGAAATCTTGAAAGTCTTCCTCTTGCCTTAGTCAGTTTCCAAAGACTTTGTCCAAGTCACAGCTACAGATTAGGAGACATTTTTTACCAAGAGGAGGCTTGTAAGTCTTCTGTACCTGGATGTCAGAGTGCCCAGCGTAAAGAGCAAGGGAGAATTTTCACTAAATACCTGTAACCAACACCAAAATGTGTGGTTACATTTCCGAAGAGCTGTATTCAATATGCGCCGCTGAAACTGGTCTTTTGCAAAAAGTGTCCTGAAAAGAGGATTTGCTCAATTCTGATCTTATTTGAAATAATTTTGGTACTTTGTTGGGCATTGAGGACTTTAGGGTGTCTGTCTGGTATCACAGGTGTTTAACTCCTGAAAATGTGGCTATAAATGTATAAACTCCATTTTGTCCAAGGTAAGTGCCATTTACACACAGCGGTAAGAGTCACAGTTAGGGGACTGGCAGAAAGATGCCAGCTCCTGGCTTCTTGATGAATGTGATGTCAGTCTGAGGCTTATAATAGTTGAGTCCTGCTGGATAAAGAGATGTGGTAATGGGAAGAGCAGGAGATGGAGGTTAAGATGCTGGAAGGGCCCCAAGGTGGGAGGGGAAGGAAGGAAAGCATACTGGGGACTCAGAAGCCAAAATATTTTGCTTTGTCTCTGGTAAAGGGAAACTGCAAAACCCACCTCTACTTCAGCCCCAGAGCACAGAGAACTTGCAGTCTTACAACAGATCACACCAGGATTTGGAAGGACAAGAACAGCCATAAAGAGTCCGGTCCCCTCTGATGTTTGTTTGAAAGGGATTTTGGGATATTTCCAAAGTTGCAATTATTAACTATGGGTCTGAACTCTAGCAAACAGGCTGGGGTGAGCATCTAGTACCTTATCATCAGGTCGGTTAGAAGCCACACAGTTCTGGGTGTAAGTCATGACTGAATCGATCAAGCCAGGGTAATTCCTCATGGTCTGACGCCCCATGTCTGCAGAGCTCAAGTTTCTGAAGAAAGCCATTTCAGAGCATGTCAGGAGAGAAGGAGGACAGAGGATTAGTTGGGTTCTCTTACTAGTCTCTATGGGCTCAGTTCTGGCTACAGCTGTAATTGAATTTAAGGATATTTTTGTAGATTCATCAATGTTGGTGCACTGCTCTCATTCTGGAGGCCTTCTGTAGGACTACACTGGTGCACAGCTCTCTTGTTGCTCTTTAGGATTGAGTTAATCTAGGAAAATGTCCTGTTAAGGAGCTCTGCATAGAAGACATCCTCCTAGAGAGAGTAACTATGAGCGATATTTTGCCTTAGAGGCTATGCTTCTGACATTACACAGACTCATCGCCTCCTTGGAGATGTTTCCAAAGAGAAGACTGAATGAAGATCATCCATGATTATTGTGAAAATCAGGAAGGTGCAAATGGTTGCAAGCATGGAGCTACATGGGGTCAACAGCAATATTTGTGTGGGAAACGAGGGCAGAGACGCTGAAGAGCAGCAATCACTGACCAGAGGGACTGACCAGTTTGTAATATTGTAATGTATTCCCAACACTGGTTGCTGTCAGGACAGGGGAGTTTTTCTGGTAACAGGAAATGCTTTTTGTTGTTTTGTTGGTTTTTTTTCTTTCCCTGTTTTATTGTCTTGTAACTTGCAAATGAAAAACAAAGAGAGACTGGCAGTGAGATATTCACTCCAGGCATTCCAGAACTGGATTTGATGTTCACTCTGATTTGCAGCCTCCTCATTAACATGAATTCATCTGCAATCCAGAAATGCTTGAGCAGCAATGGCTCGAGCCCAGGGCAAACCCAAGGCTGTTCTCATCTCTGCATTATGATGTGGCAGGGCAGTGAGTCAGAGCAATCCCAGCTCACCCCTTGGAGCAGGGGCTCCGGACCCAACTGCCATGCTTTCCTTATTTGGCTTGCTCCCCAGCCCTGCTCCCTTCAGCCTTTTGAGATCCCTCACTGACCTGCATCATCAGTCTTCACTGAGGGTGTTGGATATTACGGCCACAGACTCTGATAAGTCCGCAGACATAGCCTGCCTTGAGTTAAACTCAACGGAAAGCTCCTTTTACAAGCTATCATCATACTTTTCCCCTCATTTTTATAGTTATTTTGTGGCATTGGTGGGTTGAGATGGTCTTAAAAGTGGAGCACCTCATATACAACATACACCACACAACCCAACGTGCAATTGCATGGGGATGGCGCCTTCCAAGACAGGGAAGGGAGCAGCATTGCTCTTTCAGACACAGTTCCCAGCCACAGAAGACGATAGTATCACGTCTCAAAAGGCCCCTACCGTATTCACTCATTTCGTTTCATAAGCAGATACAGCTCCTACTAGCTGCATGTCTGGTAAGGGTGCGGTCGGTGCTGCGCTCCCTCGGGGAGAACTTCAGTTGATGAAAGTACCTAATTATACAGGGTATTTTTTTTTTCCCCACTTGCTCCCAGTGAGACAAGAAGCTCACATCCAAGTGGAGGAGGGTGGTTGGAGAAACAGCGAGTCAGGGCGAAGATCCTCTACAAAAGGGCTCTGGCTTTCCCTTGAAAAAAATAAACTACTCTGGGCTCAATCTGCACCTCTTGTTTTGTAGCTCACCCGCCTGGTGAAATGAGCCAGGAAAAGTCCAGGGCAATGCGACATCTAAAACAGTCATTAAAATCAGTGGGGAAATGTTTGGGGTTTTTTTTCCCCACATAGAGAATTCTGTCTTTTTGTCACCTAAAACTCAAAACCAGTTTGTTTTCTAGCAACCAAAATTTTCTCTGGAAGCCTCAAAAATCTAAGGGCAAGAAGTGTCAAGTTTCCTGGTCTGAGCTGAACACTGTCAGGCTTCAGCATTGTAGCTCTCCCGTGACAAAGCAACTTACATCTTTTGGACAGAGACTTATCAAGAACAAACTTATTGAGGAAAAAAAAAGAAAAAAGCTACTGGAAAAAAATATTTCACATTAAGTTTTTTCTGTGCCATCTCTTTGTCAGTAAAACTTTCTCAAAAAATTTTTATTAATACAATTGCAGTGAGCATGTCTTTAGCTTATTGTAAGAGGATTTAGACAGCTTCAGCTTCTGTCAATAGACACAAGCTACAGTAAGTCCCTGCTTGATGACTCACCTCAAACACCCTGTAGCATTGAAGAATACTTCTGGGTCAATAATTTCTCTTGTCCTGTTGCAGCTGCCATCAGACCAGCCAGAGAAAGGGATGATAACACAGTCTGTCAAGACGGGAAGGGCCTCCTGTATCAACTCTTCTTTTAATTCATCAGTGGAGGAGAGGTTCCAGAGCAGTCCTAGGAAGGAGGTGGGAAACAAGCTCAAGCAGAGGGTCACAATGCATTAGAAACTTTATTTAAGTCAGAGTAAATTCCAGTAACAAAATCCTTCTTCACTCCATCCCTCTTTGAACTAAGGGGGCAGATGCTGCCCTGAACCTTAGTCTCTGTCCATCCCTATGGAAGACAGGCGGGATGGGCACCAGGAGCATGGTATCATGTAGAGGTGGCTATCTAAGCACCCTTCCTCCTCCCAAAATTGGTGTTTATTGCCATTAGGTTGCAGGGGGAAGGCATCTCTCCAGGGACCTCATAAAGGCTTCTACATAAGACCTCAGTCACAGCTGAGGGTGATTTGCACCAACAAGCTCACGTCAATCCTTCAAGAAAAGGTGAGACACCAATGATACAACCTGCCCAACCATATTGGGAATGCCAGCACTCTTGCTCTTCCCGAGGAACAGCACGGGGGGTAGGGGTGCAGGAAGGCATGGGAATGGCAGGGTGAGCACAGTTGTGAAGGGAGACCTGGGGCAAGTGCTTCCCCAGTGCACACGTATGTAAGGAAACCTGACAGGACATTGAAGGCCGGGACCTCCTCTGCCTTCTGTTTTAGGTTCCCATTTGGTGTGACAGGAGCATAAAACATCCTCTTTGTGGTATGGCAGCACCATAGCTACCAGGCCTTTGTGTGCTGGAGCAACACAGACCACAGGCAGGGAGGTGCTTGTTGAGGGCTGAGCAGTCTGCTGTGTACCTGTCAGTTGTTTCTGAATTTCAGTGTTCCCTGTCCTCCGTAGGAGGCTCACACACTCCCTTATCCCATTCTGCCGCCGGGTTTCTATCTTGTTGGTTGGATTCTTGAAGACCAAATTTCGGAGGGCTCCAGCTGCTGCCCGCTGTACGTTCTGGTTTGTGCTGCGGAGCAGTTCGACAAGCTTGGCAATTCCCCCCAGCCGATAGACCTGGACCAGGAAAGACATGCTGCCATCAGGATGGTGTGCAGAACATTGCTGGGATGGGAACAACTAGAACTGTCATGGCAATGCACGGAGTCAACATGGCACATATGCAGGGGAGCTGGAAAAGTAGACCAAGCAGTACAGGATGGCTAGAGCTTGGAGGTGGCATGTCTGGTTCAGGCCATAAGTCATAAGCACAAAGGTTCTGGCCCTGAGGTTGGAGCTTTAACTCTGTAAGTGGATGTCTGCGAGTAATGGCCATGGAACGAATCCTTTGCTGATGTAAATGTGCTTGCTGCCACAAACTTTCACCTACCTCCATCAGTTTGCATCAGGTGAAAATGTTGCTCTGCCTATCAGTAGAGGCCTTTTATAGCAATATAATGACATGATGTGGTAATTTATCTGCATCCTGAAATCACAGCCTGAGCTTAGACAGATGGTACAGAGTCAACACCCTCAAGCTCAGCCAGAAGCAGTACTGGGCCATACTCCAGCACTTACAGGGGCAGCATTGGAAAAGGGTGTGAACCCTGACCTGCAGGACATCACACACAGGGGTGTTTGAAGGCAAATTCCTCCAGCTGAGCTCTCCAAAATGATGAAGGTTCCCACTGTAGGATGTTCTCTGTACCAGGTCTCCTAGGGACATGATCCCACATGGAGCCCCCCCTGGCACAAACCAACCCATTGGCTGGAGATTTGCTGACAACAGAAAATGAATGAGCACCTTTCAGATAGGAAAGAAAACAAGCATGCTCTGGGATGACTCACGTACCTGCTCTGACACATCTTTCTGGGAAGCGATGGGACAGGCTGGTGCTCAGAGAGTGTTTTCAACGGTAACGAAGGGTGTGGCCACCCCACAATTAGGGACTGTAACATGGGCTGGGGTTCCTGCACTCAGTTCAGCCGCAGTAAGGGCACAAGAGGTACAACCCCACACTGTGCTGGCACGTCCAGCTCCCCTATTGTGCCAGGAAATTGAAAACCACCTCTGTAGGGATGGCATCTTGATAAACCCATGTTTGCATGACTGCAAACATGCCAGGGTGGGGATGAACTTTTGTGATAGTCTTGCTACAGCAGATCCATCCTTGAGACTGCCTCCTTTGCTGCGTGCTGGCATAAATAGCAATTAGAAAGTAAGAGCATAAGAAAAATAAGCTGTGTAAGAAGGGCTTCTGTTTGATCAGACATCTTTGCACATGATCACTCATTAACCCATTGACGTAGATGGCTGCAAACAGCTGAAATGGTTGAAATGTCACTAAGCAACGGACAGTGAAGATCACAGTGGGATTTAGGGCAACTTTGTGTGTTTTGGACACTGCAGCTCTGAGATAGCAAAAGATTCATGTGGAGCTGGGTGCAGTTGCATCCAGAAGAGGACACTGCATCTGGATGGCTGGTCCCAAGTCACCAAAACCCATCAATTTGTGTCACAGCAGCTTATGGTGGTAATGTGGACACAGTCTCCTCTGCTGCCTGGTACCTATTCCTCTGTGTTAAAATCCTGACTGACTGCTATTAAGAGAAAGTGGCCACTAACAGTTGAAAAATCTACTTAATTCCTGAGTGTGACTAATGAGGTAGAAGTTTCCACCATGAAAATCAAGGGGACCTATGGATCCTTGGTACTGAGGAAAACTAGTTTCATTCATCTCATGTGCCATCATATCCAGTGTGACAGCAGAGCTCTGAAGGAGTTTACTTACTTCTTGCTTGGCAGACTCTTCCTGGAAGCAGGTGTGCTGAAGGTAGTAAGCACCCATGGTCTGGTATTTGTCATCAGAGGAGCACAAAAGTTGTATGGCTTTCTGGATGGTCATTGTACCACCATCTATCTCATCACCACATATTCTGTGTTAAAGAGAAATACAACATTGGTTGAGTGCTCAGCCAAAAGGTCTATGTCAGTACTGGCAATTATTAGGAAGGAATCAATTACAAAATGTAAAATATCACATCGCCCCATAAACCCCTAATGCATTTCTCTGTCTCAATAAGAGAGATTATAAAACTGGAAAATATAGAGTGGAGGATGATAAGGCTAAGAAATTATGGATCCATCCTATCCAGAAACAAAGGAGACAGAAAATAAAAGCTCAGTTGAGGTGTCAGATGTCTAATTAAGTCTAAAGTGAAAGGTTTTATGAACAGAGAACCGGTATTCACTTCCTCAGAAGAATTAGTGGACAAGAGTGAAACCATCTGCCAGGTTATTGGGACAATCTAAAGTAGGCAGATGCTTTTCCAACAGCATGTGAACCTTTGATGTGAGATGTGGTGGAAGCAAAATTGTGAGATCAGTTGATGGTCTCAGGAGGCCGGAGCAGATCCCTTAGGAAAAGGCGACAGGCATGTCTGGAGTGAAGGGATGGACAAATATTGTGTTTATGAAATACTAATAATAGCACTGAGGCATCCTGCTCCCAGGGTATGTTTACATTGGTAGTCTCCAAGCTCTTCATAAAAGTTTGCCACTGTCATCATCCCCTGTTATAGGTAAAGAATGTGCCTACAGACTCCAGAGGAAGGATATAGAATCATAGAATCCCAGACTGGTTTGGGTTGGAAGGGACTTTAAAGATCATCCAGTTCCAACCCCCCAGCCATCAGCAGGGACACCTTCCACTAGACCAGGTTGCTCAAAGCCTCATCCAGCCTGGCCTTCAACACTTCCAGGGAGGGGGCATCCATTTCATCAAGCCATATGAAAACCTCTGGCTTGGAGTAGGACTGAAACCTTGGGAAAAATACAAGCACCTGGAGATTTGTCCACTTGTTTACAAATATGAAGGTCCTGCTGTCCTTGACTTGCACTTATTTAGCATCATCTGTCATGTTTTAATCACACAAAATTAGAAATGGGTACAAACTTTCAGACTTTCAGATGAAGGGGTTCTGAACTGCAAAGTTTGTGTTTCTAATCACATCAGTTAGTCTAATAAAAGTTACTGTCTCTTCTTGGCATCCTTGTACCTTAGGCCTGCAGCTGGCTGCAGCGAGATCTCTGCTCACAGCAGCATTATCTGCATTAATTTGCATCAGAGTAAATGACCACAGAAAGTTCAGGACTGAGAAGAGTCAAAACCCAAACTCCTGTTTGGTCATTACTACTTCAGCAGTGATGGGAAACGCTTTGTTAACAGTCAATGAAATCAAAAAGTGTGGAGGCTTTGCTAGGACAACCAGGTCATCATTGTTCCTGACTGATGTTATTCCCTGTTCAGGATCCAGTTGTGACTGACGGGAAGCTTCTCCTGGAGATATGGGTGATCAGTTCCTTCTTGAGCCACATTAATTTTTACACAAGCTCTTGCTCTGTGTCATACTAGTGAGTGACTATGTAGAGAGGCTGATCATCTTCAGACAACCTGATAGACTAACAAAAGAGTGTTTTTTAATAAGTTCTTTAAACGAACCTATTACATGTGAAGTATTAAATATTCCTACGAGGGAGTGCCTTCTGGGCATGGGATATGCAGACTCATTTTGATTGTGCCAAAGAAATGCTAAGAATAAAGATCTAGAAAAGACAACTAAGTGTGGTCACCACCAGCAGCAGCTTACAATAAGATAAAATATTTTGACCTTAAGCATCCAAAGATAACTTGGCCAGTGAATAATATCCACAAGTCTATGGCAAATTTCATACAAAATCTCAAAAGCCAACAATTCTGCTGTGACACTGGAAGACAGCATGAAAGACTGTTTTGTCTCCCCAGTCCCTCACTGGTATAAAGTTGCATCCAGTTTAAATTATTCATTTAAGCACCTGTGTAGTCAATGGAGAGAAATAGATGCTTCCAAAGAACAATTTGCCATTGTGTCTTAGATGTTTTTCCTAAGACAGGAAGACCTGCCCTTTGGAGATACCTCTACCTCTGTTGGTATACAGGAATGACAGAGAAGAGTCTTGGATTGGACCTTAAGCATTCAGTGTTTAAGGTTAAATGAACCTCATTCATTTTTTATTTCTACACTAACAATAAAACTTTACTTCATCATATGATTTTTTCAACAGTCTGAACCTCTATAAAAACTTGGCTCCGAGAAACTTCCATTACACTTGCAATAAGGAAACATGAAACTGGAAAGACAAAGTTGAAACTAGAAACCATGGATCCTCAGAAATCTTTGGTTTGGAACCAGGATTCTGTGATTTTTTTTCTTAGACTTTTTCATGCCCTGAGACACACAATAAATCTGAGACACCAATGGATCCAGCTCGAGTAGCACCAGAGAGACTTCTCCTTTGACAATTCAGACTTGGGCTGGCAGTGTGGGGAGGGAGACATTTAATAAAAATACCAGGTCAGTGGCCATGCAGCATATGTAAACATGGTGATTTGTTTGTTTGTTTTTAATTTACCAAATTGGGAAAACCACTAATCAGGTGCACTTTTTATGGGAAAGAAGGATGTCCATTTGGTCCAGCTACTCAAGGAAGGAAGTTTTCTACACCTCCATGCCATAAGAGGTCCAAACCCTCCTTCAGCAGGGAAAACCTAGACATCCAGGTCCAGTTCTGTGTAGGAAAAGATGGGGAAGGTTCCATTTCCCCTGCTGGCTCACCAACAGAAGTTCACAGAGGGTGAGCAGCCAGGTTCAGTCATGCCGCCCAAGAAGAAGCAGTGATTTTTCCTAGCTGAGAATATAATCATCTTGGCAAAGCTTGTGCTAATGGGAGATTGTTCACCAGCCAGTCAGGGATATTCCTAACCAGATTCACACTACGAGAACAACAGCCTACTCCAAGACAAATTCTTGGACTGTGGCCATCTCCAACCTGGGCCAATGTGCCTGGTAGGAAGAGCTCCAAAGGTTGCTCTTCCACAAGAAAGAAGCAATCAGAAGAGAGAGAGACCTCAATTAGAAATGATTCAACATTTCTAGGAGACAAATTAGGTGATCAGATTCAGGTGTGGAAGGGAAACAAATACTTAGGAGGATCGGTATCACAGAAAGGCAAATTCCCTCATTTCATACTGAGGGACTTTGTCCTTTCGTACACTTTGTATTAGCAGATTGGTTTGTGTTAATCAGATCTAGGTCTCCATCCTGGTTGTTAGGGCTACAAGTCCCAGGAGAGGAAGAAGCCAGAAAACTCTAACAAATTCCATTGTTCATTAATAAAATCAGAGTGAAGACATTCAAACCAGAGTGGCCCTCCAGAGTCAGGCCACACTGGAGTAAACTCAGTAGTCATGGTCCACACCAAGGAGACATGTCCACCTCTGGGACATGGCACCAAGGTTTTGATGCCACTGAAAGCTCAGCTGGAGCTTCCCCTCAGGCTTTTCTCTGTGGGTAGATACCAGGGAAGATGGGCAGATTGACGCTGAGCCAGGGAGGAGGGGATCCTCGCCAAGTGCAACGATATGAACCCTGCCAAGACAGCATCACACACAGCTCCACAGCAATTGCTTTGGATGCAAACACACAGTGCAGACAACTTCACATCACAAGGAGCCAGCACAGTGAAACTGACATTTTTAGAAGCAGTTTATCCCAATATGAACAAACCAAAATGAAGGTGCCTATCACCATACTCGGTTCTGCTTTCATTGTGTCGCATCGCCCCGGAGAATTTATACTTTGATACTGATCACCTTTATTTATCCCAAAAGAGAGGAGATTTATCAGAAAACAGCCTAAGTACCTTTTTTGACTCTTTCAGTAACTTTTGTATATTTTCAGTCTTTATAGTATTTCCAGAGAGACTGAGCTCCAGCCTAGGAATGAACAGTTACAGGACACACACTTACTGTCCCTGAAATTCAGCCACAGCTCACAGAGGCTGCTGCAGCTCATCTTGGGCCAGGTCAGTGTCACAGACCAATATGACTCTATGGAAAATTCAAAGGGTTGCTCCAGCCTTTACTGCCTCCTCCACCGCTGCCAGCCAGGGTATTCAATGCCTTTAACAGAGTAGCACCAAGATATTACATATTTCCAAGTGCCTTGAGAGACACTTACTTTCACATGATCTCTAATGGGATGTTTCCATCTCTTCCATATACAGAGAACACCAAAGGGAAATGCATCCACATCTTAAAATGAGGTCAAAGGTGCATGTGGTATTATGGAAGACAATGCATATTGTAGGTGTCCATTAATGGCTCCTGATCTATATTAGCAACCCTTAAGCTGGGGAGTGTCTGCAGACACTCCAGCTCACCTCTTCATCTTCACAAATGAGAATACCTTGAATCCTTCACAAGGAGGAAGATAAGTCTGGCCTCTCAGTAATGTCTCCAGGTCAGACACCTGGGTTTCCCCTGGATTCAACCGAGAGGTTCTTACTTTGTTAGGAGGTAACTCACTGACCCGCCTCAGATTTCAGCTCCATTGGCCACTGACTGCATCTCTGCAAGGGCAACAGGTACATCCAGCTTAGATGCAGGCATCTCCTAAAGAAGAGATCTGCACGTAACCAGTTGCCTACTGCACAGACTATTGCAGACCCACAACCACCACTTATCATGATCTAGCCAGGCCATGGGCTTATCAGTCCCATGTGCATGTGGTATCTGAATTCCTACATGCAACATGTCTGCAAGCAGAACTAAAACAATGTCAGCCAGTGGGAGCTGCATTTTTCTTGTACCTCAAGTTCCAGCTGGAGGGGGACAAAGTTTTCTAGGATGCACTTAACATCGCATCCTTTATTAATGCTTCTCATTATCACTGCCTGCTGACCAAGGAGGATGTAGAAACATTTTTCCTGACTGGACTGAATAGCAACATGTTATTTCACTAAAAGCTGGCTAGCTCAAGATGACACACTGTCACTTGGAGCATGTTGCAAGTACCACCCATCAGAGAAACTGGTTAAAAGCAGGTAAATATGTGTAGCCTTCACCAGCTGCTGAAACCACTGTTGCTGCCAGTTTCCAGGATGAAAGGCTGCAGAATGTCATGAGAGCCCAAAAAGGAGACATGTTCCAGGGAGAATAGGGAGACCTGGACACCAAAAAGACCCCCTGAAGCTCTATCAAGTAGAAGGACCAACTCCAGAGAGCTGTATCATGGCAAAATGTGAGTGCTGCTCATTGAGAACTGCCTTCGGGCAGGAGCCACGAGAATAACCCATGAACTTCTGAGTCCAGGGCAGACATACTGAGCTTGGAAATGATGTTCCAGATATGACATAAAGCTTACAAAGGCTTAAGCCCCTGAGTGGTTATAGAGATGTATGTCTGGAAGGGACATCAGAAGGTCCCTCTCTGCTCACTGAAGCAGGATTGTAATGACAGGGGTGGTGGAAACTCTAACCATCCTCCTTCAGAAGAAGGTTTCTCAAAGCAAGTCAGTACTGTTTAACCTCCTGATCTGAACAAACAGTGAAAAACTCAGATTTCATCACCAGAACCAATACTATGGGTGAGTAAAACCCTACATCATGGTTTAGTTTATCATAGAATCATAGAGTAGTTTTTCCCCAAACATATTTAGGTGTTAAACTACTCATCAGCTAGCTGGAGGAAAGGTGCTTTCATCAACTAGAGTTGCTTCTGTGAGAGGAAGAACTCTTCTGAGAGATTGCTATCAAAGAGACAGCTCTTCCATGTCTTACACAGCCAAAGCCAGTTCAATAAATGGAACCAACCACACCATCAAGAATAGTTCCAGAAATTACTTTATGACCAAATGCAGAGGGACTCTGGAACCAACCACACCATCAAGAATAGTTCCAAAAATTAAATTACTTTATGACCAAATGCAGAGGGACTTCTCAGTACAGATAGTTTGTCAGTTCTTGCATACTCAGTCTTTTGATATCTACACACCACTATCACTACCTGAGAATGTCCAATGACACCTTTTGCATCTCACACCATCCAAGGAGATCCTTAGCACAGGACATCTGAGAAGCACCACTCTTGAACCAGTTCTAGCAGTGTCACTGCATTATGGAGCAGTTTTGTACCACAGACAGACACAGTGGATCACAGGTCCCACTGTAATTACTCTCACAGCAATGGAAATCACCCCATTGGATCACCTCTGAAAGTGTGGAAACCATCTAGCCCTTCCCTTGCTTATAGAGACGGTTTGATAACCTGCAGACAAGATATCCACCTACTCAGATCTGCAGTATGAAAACCAAACACAAAATTATCCTTGTTATAAAGACACAAGCTCTACCTGAAGAATTACTAGAATAGGAAGAACAGAGCCCCAAACAGGGAACTACCAGCAGCTATTACCCAGCTAAGCCCTCTTCCTGCATGTGGAGGTTAATAATGGGATGCCTACAAGCAAACCTCTCCTACTCAAAGATCAGGCTACCCAAATGAAGCTCTCCAGGTGCAGAATCCTCCAACCAGAAACAGTCCGACACAGCAAAGAGACCTCAGATATGGTCCTAATCCATCTCTGAAGGCCCCTTCCCAACAAAAGCACACTACAGACCAAGGCTAGCAGTGACCTGCCAGATACTTTATAAGGGCTAATGGCCTTCCAAATAAATAATTTTTTCAAAGAGGAAAACTCCCTAGTATGTTTCCAAAACTTTAAGGACAACCTCATCTCCTCTGAATCAAGAGCAGAAGCGCTTGTACAAACTGCCTTCGGAACTAATCCAGCTCTGCAGTGAGTTTCACGCGAAGCAAGGGGGTGTGCCGCAGCCAAATCAGATTTACTCAGGGGACACAGCCCCAGTTGAGCCTATGACGACTTGAAGCCCGACGTTTCCACATCAGAACCAGTTCTGCCAGATAAGCCATGCCCCAAGCCAGGAGAAGTGTATAAATGGGGCCACTCCCTAACCAAAGGGCATCCAGTGCTGGAGAGTATTCCTCTCACAACAGCAGTTCTCCTTCTCTTCAGAAAATGCCATTATTCTTCAAGCAGCCTTTCCAAAGCAATGACCAAGTCTACAACTGTGAGATCTGTGCAGTGCAGAGCAGGGCTTGCTTTGGAGAGACCCTGCCTGCCTGGGTCTAACTTCTCAAAAGCAATATTTTCCCTAGGCAGAAGCCAGCTGCAGTCCCATGTTTAATCATTCTGCCATCCCTCCCACTACACTTTTATGCTCTTTAGTCAGAAATTCCTTAGAACAAGTTACTTCCAGTTTACATAACGTCTCTGTTTCCTATTCCAGAGGAATTACAAAGCTTCTGAAATTAGCAAGCCAATGCCACCGGTGCTCCAGGTTGGCCAAGGCTAATTTTGCATGTGTTAAACATGAAGTAAATGGACACATGGGAAGCTAATGTTTCATGACAACATGCTAACGGGCAAGTGACATTTCTGGGCATATACCCTCTGGGACATACTTCTACTCAATGCAAAATGAGGGAAGCTGAGCAGAGAATTAGACAGAGAAATCTGGAAATCAACATTCAGATGTGAAAAAGATTTGGCTGACATTGCTGACTGTGAGGGGGCATTTTCTCAGTATCTACTTCACATCTTTGGTCAACAGCTCAACAATTTCTGGCCCTTGGTGTGAGTACATTGTGAGCCCTGTTAATTAGTCTCGCACTTATATTGCAGTGTGCAAATTCTCTTTTGGACCAGGGACCACCAGGAATGAGCTTGGGAGCTCCTAGGGTTTGTGTGACAAGCTGCCATGCCTGTTTGGGAGTTGTGATAACTTCTGGGTTGGTGCAGAGCAGGCCCTGTATGACAGTGGTGCAACAGTGGTAGTGCAGTAGCCCCTGGGAATGCTTGTGGAAGATGGAGACCCTCCTTCTCCAGCCCAATAAAACATTACAACCTTGCAGTTCAAAACATGCAAACCATGGTCTTCCAAGACTATGGTGTGTGCAGATCAAATCTCTTCCAAGACAGAATATGGTTGGTGCTCTGTTGCCATCAGCATCAGGGCAGCTTTGAATCAATGTCACTGTAATGCCATCAAAACCCCACTAGGTTTTTTTTAGCAAGAACTCTGCTGCATTGCACAGATATATCATCTTGGGAGTGTCTGAGCTCACTGGTGTGTTTTACATGCCCTATTGTTGTAGGCAACATTGACAAGAAGAAACCTGATGCTAACTGAGACATGAAGGACCATCCTCCTCCCTTGCATAATTCCTGACCCCAATGGGACAGGATGCTCTGGACAGGAAGGAATTGAATAGCTTCTGTTCTCTCCTCTTTCCTGGCTAGGTAAATTATTCCAGTTAGGCTATTTATTTCAATTTTTTTTTTTTTTTTTTTTTTTTTTTTTAATCCAAATCAGACCTTTTGGGTGAATGAAGCAAGGGCTGGGTGGAAAGACAGAGGGGTCTCAGCAGGTTCTCAGCTCTGGTCTGAGTCAGATTCTCAGAAACCAACTCCTTCTAAGGTAGTTGATTTTTTTAGGTTTGTTTCCTGCCAAAACAAAGCAGTGTGACAGCCAGGAGAGGCGTCCAAACTGCACACCAGGCTTTCCACTCCTCACCTCCTCACCCTCATCTTGCAAAGGAACTGTCATCCAATACCACCACAGAGACTGGCAGATCACCTTGCCCAACATCACACAGCTGCAGCAGAGACATATACACTGAGCCAGTCATATTGGTTTCCCTCCATGGCCCATAAAAAGAAATAAGCCCTTTAAGAGTGTGACTCATCTGACCCACTTCAGACTCTACCGCAGATGCGATTAAGCACAGTGTGCACTGGTGAGCAGATCTCCAGTGGCTATAAAGCAGCTCAGGTGACCAGCTCTGACATCTCCAGAGCAGATGTCTACATTTATTTAGATTCAGCCCACTGCAGCAGACTTACTTGGAGCTGGACTGAGCCTGTCCATAAACCACGTCCTGCTTGCAGCTCATCATGGGCTGGGCATAGACCACATCAGGTTTGTTGCTTGAGGGGCAGGAGAGGGCCCGTGCTGGCATTTTTTTACTTGTCCTGGTAGTTCCTTGCTGGGTGCTACAGCTGCTGTAGATGCTCTGACGGTTCAAGGTTGCCTTGTGCTCTGCCCGGACCCCTCCCTGACTCTTCCTCAGTGTTCCCCGGGGTGGTTCGCAGTAGAGGTCGGGCTCACTCCGGCTGCTCTTGATGTTCTGCACAAAGCAGTAGTCGCTGCCGGCCCTGGCAGGGCTGCAGACAGCTTTGCTGTAGTGCTTGCTGCCCCAGCCCTCCATCTGGCTGTACGAGCTGTAGCGCCTGTTCTCCACATCCCGCTTCAGCGTCCCATTGTACAGCTGGTCAATGAGAAAACAAGAGACAAGAAAATTAGGAAAGGGTTGACCTATAAAGCGCTATTTCCAGAGCACTCCTGTGTGGGTGTCACAGCTACCAAATTCCTGAGCCTCTTAGGTATTTTTGTGGTCCAAAATTTACGGGAGATTAGCCCACCTGCAGCCCTTACAAAAGTGCCAAACCCTCCCTTGAAATCTGGGGACACTTAGGGATCAGGACATGGCATCCAGGAGCTTGAAAGCAGAATTGAAAGCTCAAACATGACCCTGGCATTAGAGAAAATGCCTTATTTCCAACACCTGGGGTCTAACCCAACCTGTAATTAGAAGAGCTCACACTGCATTTCTTGCCGTCACAGGAATGATGCCCCATTCTGACCTTCCAGTACTGCCTGCATTATTTATAAAAACTTCCTTATGCTATTTTGTTCCCCTTCCAAGTACCTTAGGAAGGGAGTAAAGGGAGTGAAAACCAGTAAGAAGGGATCCTTGAATCTCATTGTACCAAGAAACAAGTGAAGACAATGAATGTCTGCTTATGAGTTACAAGGTGTGTAGTATCAGCTTATATAATGGGATGTTCTGAGAACAATGGGGGATATGCAATAAGAATTGAGATGACTAAGCCAGGAAGATAAAAAAAAAGAATAAAAGACAGTAAAAAAACCCCAACTCCAATTAATCAAGTGAAAAAATAGCTTTAGCTGGCCTGCTGTTAGTTAAAAATATCTTCACCACTTCACCGACAGTCCTCCAGATTTGTCCCAAGTACACTAGGATTTAATCCAATATTCTTTTGCGATATTAAACCTTCTGGATGTCAATCCACCTGGAAGCCTGAAGGGTTGTATCCACATGAGAAACAAGTCACTAAGGTGTGTACTCCAGAAAGAAAAATAAATAAAGCTATTTTAGTGCTGTTTGCCCCATGATACTGAGCTTTTCCACTGCATCCCCCTCAGCACACTGGCAAGCAGATCTCCAAGACATACAGCAAATATAAACTACAGAATAAAACTCCATCCCCCTTTGGTCTATCTTGGGAAAGGTCATCCATGGTCTCTTCTTGGGCCAAGGTTTTTTTCCTCACTTAACTTTAAGCAGTGGTATTTTGGATTTCTCTTTCTGCAAAAGCCACCCAAGGATTCCTTGGGCTGGGAGAGAAAAGTCAACACTGGCACCTTATTTCCATGGAGGTTCAAGGCACAAAGTATGAAAAGCCTTTGTCTGTGCAATAGTTCATGTCACTGAAAAAAATCCATATTTCCTAACTTGGAAACACCACGTGACAGAGAAACTGGAATCCTCTGCAGACTCACCCTGAGTCCCGCTGCTCTGCCCCAACTTCAGCCCAGCCCTGAGCACACTCAGCATCATTCCTGTCTCCAACACTCTGCAGAATTGTTATTATGTTAATTAATTTGGCCAAATATTTCCATTAACAAACTGATCTTCAGGAATGCAGTGAATCCTCTCTTCTGTGCCCCAGAGAGTTGCACAGGTAACGGCTGAAAACTTTTAAAAGGGGTTACTTATCCAGCTGGATAAGAAGAAACCCTCTAGCCCAGCTACGCTGATACCCAGATTGCTCTGTCATTTGAGCACCAGTCTGAAGCAGTTTTTCATATTTTCATTCTGCAGGTTTGCATTTAAACAAGTGGATTGCTGGAAGGGAGAAAAGGGGAGCAAATTCTCTTTGCATTTACTCCAGAGGACACAGAAAAAAACCTGTTAGTACTGCAGCACAGCGGGTAACAGGTTTGGTGCGTACCGCAGAGCTCCCAAGGACTTGGAAGCAGAATTTGCATGTGATAAGGACAAAGAACATGGGTAAGTTCAATAAGTTTTGGGATCTCCCCTGGCAGTGGGGTAAACCCACTGAAATTTCCAGGATGGTCACGCACAGAGGTTCTCCCCATCCTGGTTTTGCTTTGGATGCAGCATGCAGGCAGCAGCAGCAAAGTGACCTTTTATGAAGGCATGATCTACCCCACTGAGAATGAGTATGCCCTTCTAAGGGTGATATCATCCTCATTTTTTCTTCATATTCCTGGGTTCAGAAACCCTCAGGATAGTGAGGGATGGGGCAGGGCTGCAGCAGGAAGGTGCAGGGTGGACTTTGCTGCTTGGTGGAGTGGGGAACCCACTCCCAGGGCTCGCTGCTGGTGGTGCCTGGCTGGAGGACAGAGCAGCAGCTTGTTAGATGTGAGCCCTGTCGTTTTTCTTTATGAGTCAGTATAAGCTGGGATTATTTTGTAGGGCTGTCAGAAGCTTAGCAGAGCCATGGAGCCCCTGGGCATTTGCTGAAACCAATTCAGCTAACCATGGAGGAGCTAACTTGTTATTTATCTAAAGCTATTGTTTGCTCTCCAGTGTACTCACATGGACTCTCCACCAGCAGAATGGGCGAGGGAAGGTGTGAGTGTGTCTGTGTTTATAGATATAGAATTATTGATTCAGTATTTCCTGCTCTGTTTTATAGTGGCATATAGCATTGTCCTCTTTCTTGCCAGACCTGAGATGGGTGAAGCAAAGTGACTGCCTCTTTGGAAAGACACCTTTCTGCAACACAGGGAGCCCTGAGCGGCAAGTCAGTGCAGGTCCTGGCAGGGCGGGGAAGCCTTTTGCAAACTCATGGGAAAATAGTTCCCGTGTGATGTGAAGCTCATTACCAAAGTCAGTGAATGACTTTTATTGCTGATTCTACCAGATGCGTGGCTGAGCCCATTTTAATCTCTTTCAAGTGGCACGGACCTAATTGGTATCTTAGAATTCTTCTTTGCAGCAGGAGCCTGATCCAAAGACTCCAAATCGATGAGGAGTCGCCTGCCAGCTTCAGCGGAGTTCAGACCTGCTTGCCAAATAGTCTCTATGAATCCTTGCACAGACATAGATGACCTGATCACTTCTTGATCTTGACAATGTGTCAATGTCTGTGCCTTAAGAGCAGCTTTCTCAGACTAAGAACTATGTCACCATTTCAGGTGTTCACCAAGATAAGTCAGAGACCTTCACTTCTAACACCAGAGCAAACATGGCCAGGGGAATGGAGCTCCCCGTGCTGTTATTTCTTTGCTGGATGTAGTGATCATGAGATAGGATGCACAGCAAGGCACTCTGCCGCCTGGAAAAGAGATGACATCTCTGAAGGTGAAGTTGATGCTATTACATAGTCTGTGGTTTAAAAAGCCACCTGACAACAATCTTGTAACTTTTGCTAATGCCATTATGTGTGTAGAGTGAGCTCTGCCTATGCAGAATAGGATTAGTGAAAGGAAATAATCAATCTCTCACCTTCAAACCTCATAAACTGCCCAGATTTTCTAACACCCTGAATTGCATCTGTGGGTGTTTGCACGGGGGAGTTGGGCCAGGTCCACCCCTCCTCCCTTTAGGAGTGCACAGAAATGCTGGAAAAGACAAGGAAGTCCCTCAAAGTGGATTGGAGACAGAAAGCAGTGATCTCCTCTTCACTGCAAGATCTGGAAACCAGTTTAGAAGAGCACAGGCTGTCACCAAGACTTCTCCCCATGAAACCTAAGAAGTCAGGGCAGCTTGGTAGGTCTCTCCTTTCAGCCAGACACCATCATGCACTGGCAGTCCCCTGCACTCGTAAGATGCAGCAGGATGCTCACGTGCAGCCAGGCAACACCAGCATCCTGAATTTAATCCTGAACTTCTCCTCCCTACTGTCAAATGAGCCTGTATGTTTGAGGCCAAGCCTTGGGAGCTGTTCATTCATATTAAAACAAGGAGGGGAGGCACGGGGAGGAAAGGCAGCGAAGATGAGCGCTGATAGCATGCAGGTGCTCTTATCAGACCCAAGGAGTGAGTTCTTTCCTTCACTGGCAGCAGCAAAGAACTGCCTTTGAATTAATAAGCATTTGTGGATCACCAGTTCTCAGCCTGAAATGCAGGACCATATCAGGAACATCAGCTGGAATATCCAACAGTCACACAAGAGAGGTAAATAAATATCTTTAACCTCTTATTTCAACTGGAATAAAACTGGTGCTAGAGAGGAAGCCAAAACGGCATTATCTGAATCATGGATCATGAGTCCTTTTATTTTTCTTCCATGTCCTTTTCTGTCTTTTTCTTTCATAAACTGTTTTGTTTTGTTTTGTTTTGTTTTTTAACAGGAAAAGCCCCTCTCCTCCTCCGCTTTCCAGAGAAGCAGAAGCACACAGCAATGCACACCAGCTCAGAGAATCATGCTCCAATCTCAGCGCTGCCTTTCCATGTTAGAGGCCCTCCCAGATAACTGGGTGTTTCTGACTTCTGCATCTAAGGACGCGATCAGTTCATTACCCAGCTCTAATTTTTTCCCTTGCAATTTGTTTGTTTCTAGAGCAGCAGACAGAGAGAAGTAAAGGACTCCGTATAAACACGTCAGGAGCAGGTTTCTCCCAGGCTGGAGGGCAAAGCACAGGCAATGCAACATGACAGCGTCCCACCCTGAGTGATGGGTGGGGAAAACTCTTGATGCTACTTGCGAAATGCTTTAGCTGCTGCCTGCTACACACTCCACAGCAGGGAGAAAAATTGCAAAACCAGCAAATACATTGTTTATCTATTTCTGAAACGCTCTTTCCCACCTCTCCTGGGTGCTGTCTTTCTGTATGCTTTTTCATCTGGTTCTTTATGTAGCTGAGATTTAGCTCGTGATGATTCAGTTTGTTCTGGCCCGGGAAGGCAATGTCCAACTTGCTACTCCAAAGCATAAAGCTTCTTGCAAAACCTCACAGGGAGACCAGGGTCTGATGGAGCAATGATGTGCAACAACTATAAATCTTTATTTTATTTGATAAGATTGCCCAAACCACTCTATTTTTGGGATTCTTTTCAGCTTGAATCTACCACCACAGCAAACAACAAATTTTGTCCTGAAATCCTTGCAGAACAAAACTCTCAGTGATGATGAGAAATTTTTGTCCACAGAGGTAAAGCCAGCCAGGGATAGCAGGGAGTGTTCCCGTCTCGTGCGAACACCTCTCATGCAGATAACGCATTTGGGAGAGAAAGCTCTGCACCTTTCTCCCACAGAGAACATTTGCTTAAGAATCTACATACAGTCTCCAGTGCAGAGGGATCACCAAAGTACATGTTTTTCATTAGTGCCATAACAGACATAATTGCTACAGAAACCAAGCTGCATGGGTCAGTGCAGTGCAGAGCCTGAGACCCCAGCAGTGGTACCTGAGGAAAGCAGTGGTCAGCACTGGTGGCCCAGTGGCCACTGGTCCCCAACTGCTACACACCAGGAACCAACTCAGTCAACTGTTTTAATCAGAGCAGCATCAGAGGTTCCCTGGTCTGGGAGGAGGACTGCTTGCAGAAACGTTACTCACTACAAGCCCCAGGCTGAGGACACCTTGGTGGGGATGAGGATCTGCTCACCCTGTTGGAGGCAGAGCACCTAACATCTGAGATGTGCCTCCTTCCCTACCCAGCACACCAGGAGCTTGTTTGCCCCCCATTTGGGGCAGTGCTGGCGGGGCCATGCTGTGGCTTACACCCACATTGTGCCGCTGTATTTCCCTCCTGTGGAAGCAGCAGCACGGGGAGGTCGGATGCTTCTGCACCTTGTCCTGATACTGCAGCATCCTGACAATGCCAAAACAGACATGGGACCTGGGAACGCCCAGACTCTCGGGTGGCCCCTGCCAATCCAGCAGACTCAGGCAAGAGCAGTATTGCTGCAGGTGGGAATTAAGCCTCAGAGGGTCTTTGCTGACAGCATGCACCCTGGCTCCACATGCCGCCTTCCCATGGTGTCGGGGATCTGGCTGTGCATCTCCAAAGCTGTGCCTGCAGCTGGGGTGAACAGCACACCCCCCACAACCCACGGGCCACTGGACTGTGACAGTGGCTTTGAGCCCAGCGCTGAACAGACCCCATTTTTTGGGTGGTATTGAGGTGTCAGAGTCAAGGGTGCAGCTCATGCTGAGACTTCTGCTATTACTGCACTGCTCTAGGTGCCCAGTTTAGCTTATTTAAACCTCCCTCAGGTTTGTATGTGTAAATTGTGGTCACCACTGGTACCTTCTGTGGGACCTCAGGCACTACTCAGGCCTTACACCAGGACATGGCACAGCCAGCTGCTGTGGTTAGATGGCTTTGGGAACCAGTGGCCACTCATAATTCACGTTGTCAGTAGGGTGAAAACTGTCTCTAAGGGTCTTCTGGGCTCAACAGCACCTGGATTGAAAGATCATCTTAACAAAGAGAGGTTTGCACTCATTACTGCATCCCACCATGGTCACTGTGCAAGTGGGACTGGGGACTTCATCCCTGAAGGCTGAGCCAACCCCTGGCATGTGAGCCAAGGAAACGCTGCAGCCCAGTGCAAACCTGCTGCCCTCAGAGTGCCTGTTTCTGGAGTGATCCCACTGATTTCACTGTTACCTACACTGGTAATGAGTAGGTACTCATTGCAATGCTCATCACAGTGATGCTACAAACAAGGTGCCCCACAAGAGGAATAAACAGAAAATAGTCTCTAATAATAGGTAAATCAAAGGTTTTAGACAGAATTGTTGATTGGTCCAGAGAGAGCTCTTCCTCCAGACCTATCATTTCTTTTGCTCTAATATTTGAACCTCAATATTATAAGACTGGGAAAAAAACTCAGAAGCAAAAAGCTTGAGATTTCCAAGATGATACAAAACAAGACAAAAGGAGGAAGTCAGGAATAATGTTTCACAGTTTTAAGAACTGTGGGTGAGCCAGGATACTACCTGTCATCTAGAGTCACCATCTAAGGCAATGCCTTTGATTAAGCCAATCTAAGAGCAGTCTCTAAGTTGCAGGTGCTGTGGAGCAGCAGCATGGACATGGATTGCCTGTTACACCTTTTTAACTCCACAAGTCTTAGAGTAAGTAATTTTCCTGAATACTATACTGGGTCATTTGCCTGGAATGTCTGAATTTGCCTGTGCATCTCAAAGGAATTTGTGACTTCTCAGAAACATTCACAGCACCAGCTCCAGCTGGAAAGGAGTCCAGCAATTTTGTCTTCAAAAATAGATTTTCTTTATCTTTGTTTTCATGTCTTTCAACCCAGGAATTACAAATAGGAGACATTTTTTAGAATGCCTAGACTTTGCACAAGCTTCAAACTGGCCCACAGACAAAAGTTAAAGTTCACCCAAGCTGGAGGCTGGTCGTGGATGTGTGTAGACCTTTAATAAATTTCTGGAAGTAACAAAATGGAGGAGGTTCCTCCATGTGGTTGGGGAGTACGATGTCTGTTAAGCTTGTTAAGCAGATTTAGGCTTGAGGTTATATGTTCCAATGTGCCAATGGCACTTGGGACTCATCGCCCCTAACTGCAGTCACCTATCTACCTGTTGGGTGACTGCGCCGATCCAGCTGCCAGTGGAAGGAGATAGGCATCCAGAGGGGCTGATTCATCCTGACCTGACAGATCTCCAAGATAGAGAAGATGAATCACCTCCTCTACCTCTCTCTTTGTTGGCTATGGGAGGAGTCTAGACAACTTGTTAAGACTAAATGGCTGATTTTTAGATAGACACAGTTAGGTAAGACAAATTTTACTGTGAATCCCTCACAAGTCCCAGTCCCTTTTTCTGAAGCAGCCCAGGTCTTGAAGACCTTTACCAAAACCTTCTAGAATCAAAGGTTTGTAAATCACTTAGGTTTGGAGAAAGACCTTCCCTCATTAGTACATGCAGAAGAGCCCTTCAGAGAAAAGCCAAGAGCTGTGTAAGTCCATGGTGAACCAGAAGTGACTGAACTGCTGTGACCACAGTACTCTATGGTGTCTAATGGAGGCCCTGATCTTCGTAATCATCTTGCAAGCTGTTCACCAGAACACCAGCATTGCTGGACTGAAATGCCCAGCAGCCAGTGGTACTTCTAACTACCTAGTATTTGTCCAGCTGTTCTAATGATTGGGAAGAAGATCAGGAATGAACAAAATTAAACAGTAATCTTCATACCAGCAACACTAGCTGCAGTACCACCTTGCCAGAATGAGCATGAGTTGGGGGGGCAACTGCAGAGCTGGAGCTTGGCTTCCTCTCTCTTTAATAAAAAAAAACATCTAGAAGCTACTGGAATGGCTGGAACAGAGCAATTTTGTGTAGACAAAGCATAACGAACTGCACTAATGAATCACAGCAGACAAACAGCAATGCATCATTGAAACAAAACATCTCAATCATTAGACTTCTGCAGCTCAGAGACTCCACCTCTGGCTCAGGAGGTCCCTCAGTTGCAAACTTCTGGTGGCCACAAAAACACTCTGGGATGCATCCTGCCTGCTTGCTATGCTTAGACCTTCTGCAGGTGCCCATCACTGCCTTAGTGATGGAGACAGGACACTTGGCTGGATGGACCTCTGCTCTGACCCATCACAGTCACCTTTTTGGTCTTGGACCATGCAGAAACACCACTGTATGGGATTTAAGCAGCTCAGCAAAGGACATTGAAACAAGTCAACAGACAGACTGTAAATAAAAATTTCAAAGACATGCCAGTGCTCCCCATCCTTCCTACTGAACATGCAGGAGGCAGCAAACCCAGTGATGCAAACCTAGCAAGTGACATTGCTGCCTTGAAACAAGCATGTTACACCAAGGCCATTAAGAAAGAACAGATAAATCTTTCTGAAGCTGGGGAATGCTGGTGTTATGAACAGGCAGAGGATCTGGCAACTACCAGGAAAAGCTTCAACCTTCTGTCTGTGTGCTTGAAGCCAACATAAGCACCTTTCCTGGTTCAACCCTTTGATGGTCGACAGGGAGCTGCTTTACAGTCTCAGAGCTGTTGAAAGGAGCCTTTTCTTTTTCCTGTATTCAAATCCCAGATCTGTTAATTGCTCCTTTCTACTTTATAGCCGATGAAAACCAAGGAAGAACAGAATAAAGGTCTGAGGTGGAGGGGCACATGAGTACAAGTTGCCCCAGTACACAATGGAGTGGTTTGGAGTTATTGCCAGTGTACCAAGAGTCTGTCACCAACGACAAGACCAGGACCTCTGTGGGATGTATAAACTTAAGATTGCACAAACACAAGGACTATCTCACCTGTGCTTTTTCTGGCAATCTATAATACTTTCTTTGGAAATCACTATGGGAGAAGTGGACCACCTCTTTTCAAAGCTCAGAGAATATCTGAAAAGAATCTGCACTGGCATTGATATTGGGAATAGCACCACAGTTATAATGCACATACCCTGGTCATCACCACACAACTACACTGATTTTGTTCACAGAGAAGTTTTGTGACATGGAAACAAAAATGGAAACTATTCCGGGTAAGCAATGGACATGCTCCAAACTTGAACTGAGTTGTGAGAATCTGAATCAATGACTGATCTTTCAGACAGCTTCAAACCTCTTGTGCCATGTAGATATTCATCCACAAAACCAGGCTAAATCTTGTCCACACTAAAATCCCCAACCACACACAACATAGATATAGGGTCCTCAATCACCCTCCTCCATTTCATTGAATTACTTTCTAAGATAGCTGTAACCGTGCATAGTCTCTCTCAGGCAAGTTTCTGAAGAGCTATGACCTTGCTACAGGACTGCTCCTGCTAGAGGGTTCTTTCTCTACGAGTTACCTCAAGAGTATGCCACAGTTTCCAGATAAAACAGTATCTTACCGGATATCCCCAGCTGCTGTTTCCTGTTTGGGTTTTGGCATAATAGCTGCCCCGGGATGTCCCATAGCCATAACCATCAGCTAAACTGTCGTACATGGAACCTGTAAACAGAAAAAGCATGGTCAGGAGGAGAAAGCAGTCCCAGTAGGCATCCTTCAGAACACAGCACTTTTTTTTCCACTGATTTTAGTTACTGAGGAATAACAGAGTTAGAAACATTAACAGGAACATAGGAAAGACAGGCAGTGGTAAGTTGAGCCCTTACCATTGCAGGCAACTCATAGAAGATGTTCATTCCAGAAGAACTTTTGGAAACTCCAGCTCTTAGACCACAAGCAACAGCCTAAGGTTTTCAGCACAAAAGACCAAGTGCCATAAAATCCACAGTGGACAAGAACAGACAGGGTCAGAGACCAGGCCAGTGTCTTAGGTCTTTGCTATATGAGAGGAACTGGATGATATTTCGTGCTACACATCCTGGAAGGTCTGAACCTGGAACATACTTCCCTTATTCTGACTTGGAGGTAAATAAAATTTGCCTCTTCTCTGAAGACAAAACCCACCCCTGACCCTTTTGCCAGTCTGGTTTTCCTGGTCAGAATACTAGCAACCATATCAACACAACATCAACAGCAACCACATCAACACAAGCAGCCTGAGCAAGGCTTGCTAAATTCAATACATAGTAAACAACAAACACGATGGGTAAATGGTGATCAAGTCTATTGAACACCTGGGGATCTGAAATAGTCAAACACTGAAAAACCTAATTGCACTGCCTTCAATTTCAATCTCTGGTCTCCAAAAGATCACTCTGTGTACTTTCTTTTCCTGAAAATATATTGAGCTTCATCATTATTTTTGGGGTGCTGGGGAGATATGTAAGACTAGATCTCAGATACAAATATCTTGGAACCAGAGGAACCCATCAGCCATTTCTACTATTTATAGAATCATAGAATCATAGAATCATAGAATGGTTTGGGTTGGAAGGGACCTTAAAGCTCATCCAGTTCCAACCCCCCTGCCATCAGCAGGGACACCTTCCACTAGACCAGGTTGCTCAAAGCCTCATCCAACCTGGCCTTCAACACTTCCAGGGAGGAGCAGCCAGAACTTCCTTGGGCAACCTGTTCCAGTGTCTCACCACCCTCACAGTGAAGAACTTCTTCCTAATATCTAAGCCAAACCTTCCCTCTTTCAGCTTAAAGCCATTTCCCCTTGTTCTGTCATTAACTGCCCTTATGAAAAGTCCTTCCTCAGTGAAGGACATTTCTCAGTGATTTATTCAGTGTGTTTGGATTTGCCTATCCCAGCCCTACTAAAAGCTCTTCCAGATGGCTCTCACCAGTAGCCATTGTCAGTGCAATCTTTGGAACCCTCTTAAAAGTATTATACTCAATGCTACATTCATCACTACAAGAAAAAATGAAGTGGATCATTCTCTTTCTGTGCTGGAATTCCCTTAAACCCCTTCAGATGGTCCAAAAGAGTTTAAGGTCATATAAGTTTCATTTTCAAAAGTGCTCAATAATTGTGGCATCCCAAGTCCCGTTATGAGGAAGTGCAAACCCTACACTCCAATTAGCTTCCAGGGGAACCTCTGAATGTCTAACGAAGTACAAAATCAGGACTTACCTGTCTTAAGTTATGCACCTAAACTGGTGGGTAACGTCAGAAATATCCTAATCTCTCTGATTGTTTGATAAGTCACATCTCTTAGATAAACTGGATAAGCTTGACCACAAAGGCCCTGAAGCCACTCAGGTCTTCTGTAGCCACTGATCCTTGGAATAAATCTAATTTATTGCCTTGCCTGAGGCATCCAGAACCTGTTATGGTGATTTGGTTCGTGTCTAAAAATTCTTGCATTTTCTCAGGAAGATGATTCCTGTAGATGTGGTATAAATAATGAGATTTGCTTTCTCTTGTCAACAAGAGAGGAGCAAGACTGCATGGATGGCAGCATCTGACAAACATCCCTGAATACAGAATAAGCAACAGCAAAGTAGTTTCACAGACGTACACTTGTGCAGAAAATCACAGGATCTCATTTTCCATAGTCTAGAGACTTGGTGGCATTGTTCCCTATTAATATCTCTCCAGCCCTGACTGTTTCATGTATATTAATTTGCACAGCACTTGCTGATAAGGCAAGGAAATGGTCATCAACATGCAACATGAGATGCAATTCAGCTGTGCCCTCCACCTTGTGCTTCCCTCCCCATCCTGGGATTTCCCAGAAACTCCAAATCAGGACATTAATGTTGGGCTTCAGCAGAAGCAAGGCAGGTCTTGAAATGGTAAGTGTGGGCCAGGTGGTTCACCAGGGGACAGAGTTAGCTAATAACAATAGTTCTGAGCACAAAGATAATCCCATGATAACAGTTTCCTGGGAATACCTCTGTATAATCAACCTCTTGTTCTGTGCAAATATCACGTAACTGTAGGCAGGAGCACCTGGGAGCATCTTCCTGACACTGTGGGTGAGTAGTTGGAAGAAAGGGTTTCTGGGCATGACTCACAGGTTAATCTGACCAGTCCTTCCTGGGGACCATGCTTTCCTTTCAGGATCCATTCTTGCCATGCACTGCACTAAAGACTTTGGAATTGAGCAAGAAGACACCAAAAATAAGCCAGTTTAGGCACACCTCTGATTTTCTTGTATAAATTCACCTCTACATGGCCAAATTCAAGACACCAGGCAGTTCATGAAAGTTTATGTTCTTCAGTTGTGAAGAGTTGCCTTCACCTCCAAGAACTTGTATATTAGAGCTTGTAAATATATAATTATATATAACCTCAAATGTTCAAGGCATTTTGAAGTCATCTTGCTGGTTGGAGAAGGTGCCTCTCCTGCCACCACACAACCATAATTTATTGTTTAGAGAGCTCAGTCTGAAGGCCAGGAAGAATCTGGGGATTTTCTGACGGAGGCAGCTAAAGAAAACATCATCTTTGTTTAGTCCTGCAAATTTAGACAGTTCTCTGCCTGGTTCATCTTGAGAGCCAGCTTGGAGGTATATCACCAGCCCTCAGGGAGAGGAAGGATGTTCCTCTTTTAACCACTCAAGGGTAAAGACCATACAAGCTGGTCACAGGTCCTGAGCATCTGGGATAAAAACAGACTATCTCCTGAAAAAAAACCCATTTTGACAAGGGTTGGAAATGTTGTTTGGGGAGATGCCTCCCTGGTGCTTTTTTATAGCTATGTCCATATGTCTGTGTCTCATTTGTTGTCATCCAAGCAACTGTTTAGGTCTCTGAAGTGAGCACTTGCACTTGGACAAACACAGCGACAATTAAAAACATGGTATTAGTAACAGATAATAGAAGGGACAGAGGCAAAAAAGACATGGCTGAGAATCACTCAGATGAAGCACAACCTCTCAGTGACCGTGGTTATGGGCAGAAAATACCCCTGAGGGTTGCTCAGGTGCTGGATGGGCTGTCGTAGGGGCCCCTCTCTCCCACCCCCAAATCGTCATCCCCCAAGGCACTTGGTCAATCTAAAATATCTTTTAACTCCAGTGGGACAGTTCACAAGGGTAAAAACTAATTATAACAGATGAGGATTATAGGATCTTGCACTTAATCACTGTGAGCCCCACTACATGCTCACCTTGCCCTTATCCTCCTCCCTATAGCTGTTATTGATCATTGCAGAGCAAACTGAGACTTCCAACTAACCCAGTATGCCTGTGCTTGATGAGTTACCTTCTTCAAAGGCAACTTGGTACCTCTTGAAGCTAAGAGACTGGTGGCAAGGAGGAGAATTGTGTTAAAAGTGCCATTTTTCAAGGACAACAGTGAAACACTTCAGCCGGACACATAAAACTAACAGGGAGCATTGTGGAAATGGATGCATGTTAATAAATATTAATCTGTGGCAGGGAAAGGCAAGACAAGAACCAGTCACTGGTAGTGCAGGCTGGGCGAGTTAAATAATAAACTATGCACGGCTTTACAACAATAAGGATGATTAAACATAGGAAAAACGTAGTAAAAGAAGAGGGCCTGTGGGAGGCACAAAGCAAAGCCTGGATGCCTCCGAGGAGAGAAGTGTTAGTGAAATCCCAGAAACTGAGATGAGGAATCCCAGAGTTGGTCTGAGGAATGACCAAACTTCATTTCTGATTTCTGGCCTATGAGGTAAAGTGTTTTGGTATTTTTTTTCTGAAACAATAATCTAAGGTTTGTAGAAGAGTGGATGGCTTCCACTGAATCAACTCATGCTGGGGGAAGGTTACAGAAGTCTTCAAAAGACTTACTACCCCCAAAATCTCCTCTTCCCTTCACATCAGAGTAATTCTCTGAACCCCCATTCAAGCTAGGTGGGATCCCATCAGAGCTGGGTAGGATTTCTCCTCGCTCAGCCACAGCCAGCATAGCAAAGCTCTAAATCACTGCTCAGCTGCGACAAGTCACTGCTCCCTGCTCTACCCTGCCAGCCAGTGACAAGTCACTGCCAGAACTTTTCTTTAGCCAGAGGACTTTGCAGACTAGTGCTGGTGGCTACGAGGAACTGGTTCAGCTTGGCCTGGCCTTTTCTCCTGCCATGCCACTGAAATTCATTTTCCCTGGAAATTTGCATTACTCGCAAATTCAGAGGGAGCCATCCAGTTAGCTGTTCCCATGGTGAGAAGGGCAGCTATACCCTGGGGCAGACCCCACAGACCCAAAACTCTTCAGCCATCCTTGGAAACACCCATAGCTGCTGTGTTGAGAAATGGCCCCACTGTGGGTACAAGATTATGTTGCTTGCAACAGGTTTCTGCTCACTCTTCTACCCCAGTGCACACCAGTTTGAGCCCAGATAGATCACCTTGCCCTGCTGTGGCTTGTGCAGGTATTAGGTGACACCAGATCTTCAGAGAGTGGCCATAAGGCCTTGATCTGCTGGACTCCAAATAACCGACTAGTTTTATGTATCCATCAATTAGCAGAACATTAAAAGAACGTCTGTTGACCCTCTAAAGAAATCCCACTTATGGGGTACAACAACACCTATCCCTCCTACGTGCAAGAAGGGTCCACGTCTATGTTCCCTGTCCTACGTACACAGGCACTTGTGTTCTTGAAGCTCTGTGCTGTGCTTCAGCTCCTGCTCAAACCACAGACCAAAACGCAGCAACTGATGGCTGGACCTGGACCAACCCCTAACCAGACACATGCAGAAAACTCTCTGGGTGCAGAGGGCACAAAGCACTTGAATGTTTATCAGGGGGCTTTGTGAATTCTCCAGATCATGCTGCCTTTGAGGAGCATTGCTGAGAAATTATGGGGATGCAGGCAGCTGATGTTGGAGGAGCATTTGAAAAAGCAGACATCCACATCTGACAGACCCATGTAGCCTGTTTGTAGGCAACATTAATGCTTCTCATTAGGTCTGCTCAGCTAACCTTTCAACAGTGGTAAAAATCAATGCTTTAAAGTTTAGCTTGACTCTCTCAGGCTTCAGTCCTGAAGAAAACCTGGAGAATAAATGGCAACATCTTGTCCTCCTGGGATTCCATCCAGAAATGCACCGAGAGAGCAGCTGCGGAGATGAATCAGCCATCAGGACCTTCATGCTGGCCAGACTCCCTGCGGTGGGAACGGGACTGCCTCGGCCCCATGTTTGGAGACAGCTCCTGGGAGCTGGATATGACTCAGCTTCCCTGGGACACAGAAACCAGAGATGCACATTTCCACGCAATTCCCATTCCCAGACATTTCCAAAAGTGTCTGGAGGAGGAGTTTAGCAGAGACAGGTAGCTTGGGAATTTGCTTTTTTTTTTTTTTTTTCTTTCCCAGAGGTTTCACCTGGGCTCCTCTCCAAGCAGAATAATCCCCCTTTGCCTCCCTTCCTTCCTGCCTATGGACAGCAGTGGGAGACATCTCCCTGCCCACTTCCCCTTGAAATACCCCTCCACTAAAAAGGGAAGCTGGCAGTGCTCAACCCCCATCCAGAGCCTCTTGTCTCATCCTGGTTTGTATTTTATTTTGTCAGATCTGGCACCATAACACCTTAAGCAATAAACCCTCCTGAGGCAGGAGGAGATTTGCATCTTCCATTTTGGTGGCAGAAGAAAGCTCTCCTTGCCCCATTACCCACCCACCTCTTGGAGTCTATGTCCACAAACACACTAGAAAAGAGAGAGCAGAGATTTATTCCTGGTGGTGCCCATCATAGGTCACTGCACACACGCCATCCACCACGAAGCTGTTCTATTCCCTCTGTGGCAGCAATTGCAATGCACACAGCCAGGATGGATCCTTTGGCAGCACCACCTCTACTGTTCAACCAACAGCCAGTGCCACCTGGCTTCTCTTGGTAAACCAGCAAAAAAACGTGTCTGGGCCATGACACCTCATCAGCGATGGATTCAGCCTCATGATCCAGCTTGGAAAAGCTGCTGGGCAAGACATGGTCCTCAAAAGAGGTGGCAGAGACTGGCCCAGCTCACCCAACTTTCCAGCAAGCACCCCTCTACATGCTGCTTATTCCAGACACAGCTGAAGGGTTCAGCCCTAGCCCCGGCACCCTCCTCTCCCCCAAAGCCTTGAGCTTTCCTCTTCCTGGTGAGCTCAGCCTGGCTGGTGAAGTTGCTGCAGCTGCCAGTGAAAGCACCTCCGAGAACCAGGAGGTTTTGCACTGTGGTTGTTGCAACCCTCTGGGTTTGCAGCTGGCAGTTGGGAAAAGCTGGGGTTTACCTCAGTTTACCACTCAGCTTTCTCTAGATGTAAGTACAGCGAAGAAAACAATTTGCCAAGCCTTGACCCAAAGAGGAAGGTGTTCCAGCAGGAAACCTGGCTCCAGGACTCAGTTGATTGCGATGGGACAGACTCAGTGCACGGAGGTGGACCATCTGCCCAGACCCCTACACCCCTTTCTACCCATCTGCAAAATGTATGGATGATGTAAATCATCCCCACTGAACCAAAGCAAGCCACTGGAGTAAGAAAAGGACATCTCTCCTCCTAACTCACCTCCTTCCTACCACTCACACTGGGGTGTCCCAGAGGCTCCCACACTTTCCAGCCTGCAAATGGGAGACATGTTGGGAGATTCAGAGGTGAATCTCGAGCTCAGGTTCATGTCCCGTGTGCAGGCAGAGCTGCCTGCTCTCCACCTGCCTGGAGACAGCCGAGCCCCAGTTTGCGGCCAGCTCCCAGCCCCATGGCATGGTGGAAGGGCAATGCTGTTAGCTTTGGCCCTCCACAGGAGGGACGGGTCTGGTGGAGGTTTCAAACCATGGGGACACTCGCAGAGGAAGGATTGGCAAAGGTTAGGCAGCTACTCCAGCTTTAGAGCCAGGGAACAAATGGCTAATAGAACCACACTAAAATATCCAAATGCCTCAGTGATGTGGAGCTGTGCGGCACTCCTGGCAGATCAGCCCCACTGGGGAAGGAGTCCAGGCATCTAGCTCCATGTCTTGTCCTAACTCTTCCATCCAGTGCAAAAAAGACCTCAGCATCTCACTGCCCAGGGTAACTCATGGGACACACAAACTGGTCTGTCCCCCACAAACAAAACCCCACCAAAGCACCCCATAGCATCTCCTCTGTCCCCAGAGAGCACCCCCTTGTCCAGAGCGCGGTGGGATTTTACCTCGGTTGGAGTGGCCCACGCTCGACGACACAGATGACTTTTGCTTCTGCCGCTTCACCGTCATCATCACTTGCTCTTGGACCCGCTGTTTTCCCGTGCCCTTAGTTTTCAGCTTGTGGTCCGAGGGCAGAGCCAGAGTGGAACTGGCCTGGTCTTGGAAGCACTCATACGCCAAGGCTGTTTTCAGTGGAGAGTGAAGCATGGCTGCAAGCAGACCGTGGGGCTGGGGGGAGAGGGGGCTTCACTTCACCTGACCACACACCACACAGAGCGACAGCAAATGCGTCTCGTGCCGGGGTTAATCTCCCGAACCCCTCCTTGCCATACGTCCCCCAGCCGAGGGTGTCTCAGGGCTCCTGCTCCCAGCTCGGCTCCCCGGCGTGTGAGCAGGCACACCCTCTGCCAGACTGGATATACAGCCCTGCCTGCACACACCCACGCGCTCCCCGCCGCGGCTCGCTCGCAGCCCCCGCACCACCGCTGCAGGGCACGCGGCTCCCCGCTGCCCTCGCCCCAAACCTGCCTCCCCCAGCCCACGGTGAAACGAACGGGTCATGGGGACATGTGGTACCAATGGGGAGAGGTAAGGCTGGGAGGCATGAGGGTTGGAGATGGACATCACCGTCTTCTGCACTGTGAAGGGCTCACGGGTGAGGCTTTGTGAGTCTGGGTAGGAAATGGTGCGTTTCAGCTGGAGGATCTCCCACACAGCCTGTTCATCTTGTATTTTATTATTTCTCTTAGTCTAAACTGGATTAAAATGGTGTCTCAGTGCCAAGAGCCTGGGGACGCCCCTACTAGTAGGAGACAGCATTACACATACCGTGGGTCAGAGGAGCAACGCCTTGGGGTCCAGCCTCTGTCCTGCTGAGATGCTCCCAACTCAATGTGTCCAGCTCCCCATTTGCAAAAAGCTTCCTCTACCTGCACAGATTGCAAAACCACCTCATCAAAGCCAGGACTGCAGGGCCACCTGCAGACCACCTAAAGTAGGGGTCATGGAGGGTCCTGCTGACTGCAGGGTGCTGCTGTGTTCATGAGGGTGAGACCTCTTCCCAAAGCGGGTCCCACTTTTTGCAGGGACAGCCCTATGGAAAAATCAGGGCAGTTGCCAGGCAGAGTTGGGACAATCTTTGCAAGTAACTTGGGGTAGTACAGAGAAAAATAGGACTTTTAGCAAGTAGAATAAAAGATAGGGTGGCTGTACAAGAAATGACATGCCAGGTTATGAATGTGAGCAGAGAATTTTCTCTCTGCCAAGCCACACTGCAGCAACTCATTTGCAGAGAACCGAACACCTCGGCGCTGGTGTGACCAGTTTCAGGTCACAGCAAGTGCTGACAAAGCTCCTGCCAAGCCACAAGAGGCTGATACAGGAGAAGAGGCACAAGCCCCAATAGGAGGGGGACCAAGGGGAAGGTGCTCAGGGCAGAGGCTTCCTGGGCCCCCCAGGATCAGGTCCTAGGTGCTTGTGTCAGCACACAGCGTGGAGACGGACCAGGAGGAGCAGGTTCCTCCACAGTGCTGGACACAGGGAGCTGTAGTGGAGAGGACTTGTGGGATTTCTCTCCAGTGGGAATCATCAGTGCACAGGGTCTGGCTGCCCACAGGCCTGGTGCTTTCAGATCACAGATGCTGGGTCCCTCCTTGAAAGCAGCAGGAAAGCACATTATTTCATTCCCATTCATCAGGTTTCATGTTTCCCTGGAAGCTTGTGAGCAAGCCGGTGCCATATTTCATATTTCATAGAACAAGAGCACTATCAGAAAACACAGGTCATGCTCCTGGGGACGATGAACATTCTCCACCTTCCTCTTCTGGTGCTCCAGGATGCTCCTCCAGTGAAGCCCAACAGGAGAAACTCCAGCTTTGTCAATGCGACACAGGACTAGAGAAACTAGAGGGCAATTACCTTTGATCCCCTCTCCCCACGTTTTCTGACACCTCATGCAGTCGCTTCAATCTGCTCCATCACCCAACCAGCCTGGACATTTAGACCATATCCAAGCAAGACCAGCCAGGATGGGGAGTGAGTGCTTCCCAAGACAGGGTGGTCAATGAGATGGAAAAGGATTTTCTGCTCCTCCTGTGCGTTTCATAAAATTGAGGATAAGTTTATGTGCTTCCAGTCCAGGTAGGGAAGAGCAAAGCAATATCTGGGTGTTGTTTTCCTCTGCCCTACTTGTTTCTCCTGAAAGCTTGTTATCGATGCCAAACGATGTTTTCGCAAATCAATGACAGGCTGTCAGCGTCAGATGGCTTCTGCACAACAAAGTGCCCAGCTCTTGCAAACCTGTAATGTCATTTCCCCCACGGCAAGGAACAGCCCTCACCCTGTCCCCGCACGGGAGAGCCAAGTGTTTATCACATCCCGTCATTTGCTGGCGGATAATACAAATGCTACGCGCTGGCATCTGCCCTGTTTCATAACTCACCCAAAATGCTGAGCTGGGCTGTGGAGCTGGGGACAAGGAGCTTATAGAGCCCGTCAAGAAACAATAGTTTCTTCGGGCGAGTTTGCATGGTCTAGCCCAAGGGAGGGAATCTCCTGGGTTGCTGCAACGGACTCCAAACCCGTATCTAAAAGAGCAAAAGGGACTTAAACAAAGGAGTTTATTGCACCTCTATGCAAACTGCTGTTTCTGCTCTGAATCATGAGCTGGTGATGCTTACTTAGCAGGGCATGGTGAGTGTCATCCCCAGCAAGCCCAGCACGGCACCGGCGCAGCAGCAGATCTTGCATCTACCAGCGCCTGAAGCAAATTCCCTGTCTGCCTTTCTGTCTGGAGCTCGCAGGCAGCAGCCAGGAAAGGCTGAAAGGGAAACAAAACCTGTGCCGAATTCAGGGTGCGATTGGCAAAAAGATTGGAGGATTTTTTTAAAAAATAAATAAAATAAATAGGCAATTGGTAGTTTGAGGGAGACGGGGGCCTTCGCTGTGGTCCGACGGCGGCATGTGCGCGCACCAAGCATCGCATGGCGATGCCGTGAATCACCGCTCCGCACCCCACACAGGGACACGCCTTGTGCATCTGGCCTCTTCAAAGCATTTTTGTACAAGTTCCTGGGATTCCTGCCAACTCGCTGATTGCAGTCAAAGGGCTCGCTGGCCCAATACTGCTCCCAGAGCCGTGCAGGGTTTGCTGTTCAAACTTGTCAGGTGCTTCGGAGCTGAAAGTGTCTATGGATGGCTGCAAAATCTGCCTGGGGAAAATAGCTGGCCCTCAAAATTGGTGACAGGGAGTCCTGCTGTCCTTTTTTTTTTTTAGCACCTAGGGTTGCTTTTTCCTCAGGATGGGTGCTGACCATGAGGGACAGAGGTAAGGGTGCTGGGAATTTCTTGTCTTTCCCAAGATAATACCATTTTCTGAGCAGTGACTCAGCCTCACCCCAGCAAAGCTGAGAATTCCCACAGCCTGGCAAGGTTTCTCCAAGAGGAAACCTACTCTTCAGTTTTGCAAAGGTTTAGTTTTGCTCTACCTCTCATGAAAGGCTCTCTTTCTTCTGTGGGATGAGGAACAGGGCAGGTGGAGATCTCAGATTCAACAGGGTGACCAGGATCCAGCTGAAAGTGAGCATGGAGCTGCCAAGCTGAGGAAAGCCACGCAGAAGCCTGCTGAGACATGCGAACAGGTTTGGTCTTGAGCAAACCCTTCCCTCCACTCCTTGTACACATGTGGCACTGAGATGTTTTTGGGGTGGTGCTGTGGGAGGACAAGAAGACGACAGCACCAGGCAGCAGCAGCACTGGGCTGGGCCTTGGCAAAGCAGGTAGATTTCACCAAGCCCCAGAGATGTCCCATTGTGGATGGCAGCTTAGGTGAGAAAAGTAAGGAAATCCCCGATTTCTCCACAAAAAGGAAGGACAGTTCACGTAGAGCAGCTGCCAGGCTACATGCAGATTAAAGCCTTGCGTAATGGAGATAAAATACCTGTGAACAAAGTTAACACATCGTTAAGGTGTGTCCTAACAGAAACATGGAATAACTTAGACAGGAAGGGACTGACCCTCTGCCCAAAGCAGGGTCAGCTTTGCTGAACCAAGTCAGGACCCAGTTGCTCCAGCCCTTGTCCAGTTGAGGTTTGATGGAGATCCCACAGCATTTCTGGCCTCTCTCCTGGTATTTGACTACCCTGATGGTGAATTTTTTTCCAGGTGTCTAAAAGGAATTTCCCATGTCACAGCTTGTTCCCGTTGCCTCTCTTCCTCTCCCCATGCACCTCAGAAGATCTGGCTCCAACCTCTCTGCATCCTCCAGTTAACTAGCTGCAGAGTTGTGAGATCCCTCCAGACTTTCAGTTCTTCAATCTGAACCAGTCCAGCTGTCCTAGCTGTGTCCTGTTCTCCACTCCTGTCTTGCAGTCGGGTGTGAAGCACCTTGCCCTTGTCAGCTGGAGCTCCATGGGCTCACATTCCTGGTTCCCTGCTTTTGCTGCCCCTGTTTGTGGCAGATGGCACATGTAATACACATGAGGGGACACAAAGCAGGGCAGGACATCTGGGGGCTGGAGACCACCCTTAAAGCTCTGTGCAGGAACCTGCATGTATCTGACAGCAGGTCCAGACTCAGTGCTATCAAGGCTGAAGATACAGGTTGTCCCTTCTGCCCTTCCCTACATTTGGACATCCCTGGCCAAAACAGTCACATCCCAGGTCCCACCTTTGATGAGCAACATCACAACTCGGAACTGCTCACAGTTCAGAGGGCTGTTCAGGCTTGTCAGCAGCTAAAAAGAGACATGCCTTGGTCAGCAGGTCACTCTGGAAATAAGCACCAGGGAAGGGCAAGGACCAGGGAGGTGCCCTGGAAGGGGAGGATGGTGATGGAGAAGGAAGGAGCTCTGCTTCCCTTGCAGGACAAGGCCATCAAGTTGGCCAGTCCACCCAGTTTTTATCTCCTTGTGTCACCATCTCACTTGAGGAGCGTCTACAAAATTGGTCAAGGAGCTGCTGATCTCCTCCCATCTCTACCCAGTACTCTCTGCCAGGGCAATGTCCAGTTCAGGTTGAGCTCAGCCTGTAGTTGCTTCTTCACCCATCTCTGTGTAGGAGATGCCCTGCAGGGGAGATGCTTCACACCAAGACTTACCATGTGGGACCCCGCTGGCAAAGCTCCTCCTTGCTACAGTCCTTGCCCAGCAGCCCAAGGGTAGAGCTTGTGACAGTGAGTGAATCTGGAATAACGAACTCCTTTGCAGACCAAGTCC